CGAAGGCATGCCAGGAAGCAGCAGAAACTGATAGAAGCAGCTTTTGCTGTTGTTAGTTGCAGGCTCTGTGTGTACAGAATCAATCGGTTCCAAAGGTTTTCAAGGTCTTTGGAAGCAGATCGACAGGCTTCTCTTTTGAGGCACCTCTGGATGGGTTAGAACTAGGTCTTTAAAAAGTTTGAACAGATTAAGTCATTGTCAACAAAATGAAACATGAAGAGACCTGAATTTTAAAAATTTGAATGAACATCAGGAACTATAACTGGAATGGAAAAAAATTATGGGTTGAAGCCCTGGAATGGGAGACTAAATAAGAGGCATAGTAAAGAAGCCCTTTCAGGAGCCTGATGTGGAAGATTAGTTACTGAAGAAACTGCAGAGTGAAACAAATTCAAAGTGGTGTGGAGGCTGCCATCTTTGAGCTGGGAGCCACTGTTTTCCATGCTACAGGCAAGAGATGTGGTTGCTATGCAACATGTATGCTGCTCTAAGATTAAGTTTCTAGCAGGGTTGTGACCCATAATTTTTCCTGTTCTAGTTATTTCTTCAGTTCACTCAAATATAGTAAATTCAGGTCTGTTCTGGTGTCTCTTCCTCAGACATGACTGAACCAGGATAAGCCTCGTTTGAACCACTGCTTTAAGCATTTTTGCCACCCACGTTGCCTTCAAAGAAGCCTTATTTAAAAAAAAAAAAATCCCATTGCAGCCGAGTCTTAGTGACCCAGTAGGTAAGAGCAGAACTGCCCTAACTGGGTTTCCAAGGCTGTATATGTTTACGGATGCATATTGCCACATCTTTCTCCCACAAAAAAGCTGATAGGTTTGAACCTCTGACATTTTGGTTAGCAGTTCAGCATTTGATCACTCTGCCACCAGGCCTCCAAAGAAGCCTTCAGGGCTAAGGCAACTGTAGACCATGAGCAGAAAAGAAGAGGTCCAGAGGAGTCAGTGAACAAAGGGCCCAGAGATCCTTTGCCTTCCTTGGACCAGTCAAAAGCTTTGGGTAAAGCAGAGCCAAATGCTAGCAGTGGCCAAGTCTTCATGCGGCAGTTAACCTCTCTGCAGGTATGACCCAAAGTCACTGTGCTTTTACATAGGCAGTCAGGGGACACACACATGCCCAGCGGTTACCAATTTGAGCATCCACCTCTTCCTCCTCCCAGGGGCACAAAGGATTGTCTAACAAGAGGAGAAAGGATAGTGAAGACCCTGACTGATAAGGACTTACTTAGCAATCTAAGGTATGAGACCTAGACTCTGGAAATTGCACAGAAACCACTTCTTGAATCATAAACACATAATATAGTGAAACCTGCAAAACATGAATCTTTAGTAGAAAATTATCGTTCTTTTGTACCAAGACTGCCTTGTTTTCCTGGGCTCACAAGTTTTCCACCTTTGACAGTGTATAGTCTAATCACTTTTCTATCACTTATTCTAATGAAAAACATTTGCATTTTCCTTCATTGACAGGTTTCTACTTAACATAGGGTTTGGCTTTGTAAGTTTTACTTTGTTGTCTCCAGTGACTGAGAAAAAGAAGCCTACATGGGTTGATGTCTAAATGTGCAAGGGTGAGTCAAAAAGTAATGCTACAGCTACCATGTTCATCGTAGTACTATTCACAATAGCAAAAAGATGGAAACAACTTAAATGCCCATCAAGTCAAATGGATAAGCAAACTGGAACATACACACTCAATGGAATACCATGCAACATTAAAAAATAACAATGACTCTACAAATACAACATGGATGGACCGGGAGCACATTAACTGACTGAAATCAGTCAATCACAAAAGGACAAATACTATATAAGACCACTATTGTAAACAATCAAGAAAATGTTCTCACATTAAAAGAGATCTTCTTTGGGGGTTTCCAGGGGTGGGAGAAGAAGGAAAGGTAAATCACTGGCTAGGGGGTAGCGAAGACATGAGTTAACATCTGTGAAGGGGAACGCAATGTACAACAATAGAAAGGTTGAGAAAACAAAACAAAAAAGTAAGTACAGACTAATCTCTGATAAAATAAACTTTAAGGCAAAAACCAGCATAAAAGCTAAAGATGGACATTATCTCATGATTAAAGGGACAATTGAACAAGATGAAATAGCCATAATAAATATCTATGAGCCCAATGAAAGAGCTCCAAAATATATAAAGCAAACTCTAATAGATTTGAAGAAACAAATAGATGAATCCACAATAATAGTGGGTGATTTTAATACACTGCTTTCAAAAATGGATAGAACAACCAGAAAGAAACTTGACAAAGACACATCAGAACTAAACAATACAAGCAGCCAACTGGACCTTTTAGATGTGTACAGAGCATTCAACCCAACAACAACACAATACACATTCTTTTCCGCACGTGCCCATGGAACATTCTCCAGAATAGA